GCTCTCTCTCTCTCTCTAGCCAACCCACTCTCTCTCTCTCTCTCTCTCTCTCTCAGGGAGGAAGAACCGTATATTTCAGAGAGAGGGAGAGGCATTTGTATTTTGATGAGAGAGAGACTTATTCGATCACGGCGCGTTTAACATTTCGTTGCGTTGGGAAAAAGATGAGCACTTTATAGACTCTACAATTTTCCTTAGTTTCCTTTCCAGAAACCATGTCCAACTCTATTTATATGCATTTCACAACCGACCAGAATTTAGAACCAGCAAACCATAGAGAGAGAGAGAGAAGTAGAACAGAGGAAAGAGAGAATGGGTAGTGAGGTGAGTGTGAGGGCAATCATAAGCAAGGAATTCTGCTCAAAATCAGAGGTGATATTGAATGTGAGGAAGAGGCCGAATGCGATAAATGGAGGTGGTCTAATTGTGAGAAATTGCAGTCAGGAGGTGGCTTTCAGGGTTGATGGGTGTGGAACTCTTGGCCTCAAGAACCAACTCATTGTCAAGGACGCCTCTGATAATTCTCTCCTTCTCATACGCAAACAGGTACTCATCATGAAAACATTTAAACAAAATAGAGATTATATTGTGTGTTAGAGATATATATATATATATTCAAATGAGAGAGATTACATTGTTTGTGTATTAGAGAAAGTATAAATGGGTAATTGTTTTAAATTGGGTTTGAGAGAGAGGGTAATTGTTGTGTTTGCATTTAAGAGAGTACAAATGGGTTATTATTGTGTTTGCATTTTACAGGGAGGAGTTGTACAGGCTCTGAGCTTTTACAACAAGTGGAAAGGGTATTCCGAGGACTACGAGGGTACTCAGAAACCGGTTTTCAGCATTCGGGAAGCGGTTTTGTGCTTCTCAAAGAGATGCCCAATTAGGATTTATATGGAAGGGAAGCATTGCACCAGGGACTGGGATTTCGAGATCCAGGGCTCTTTCTCAGACAGGGATTGTGTTATCAAAGACCATAATGGAACCATTGTAGCTCAGGTCACTCTCTTCCACAAATGCAACCATACTAGCTCATCTCTCTCTCTCTCTCTCTCTCTCTCCACAGATGTTCCATCCTAATAAACATACTGCAATATTGCCTCTTCATCTCCATCTAAACCATGTATTGACGGTGATGATGCTCACAGCCATACGTATCCTGTAGTCATGAGCATCAGATTATACTTTTGGATGCGGTTAGCATGGAGCCATGCTCGCACATATAGAAATGCAGACCCTTTAATAAATTTATTTTTTGAAATATAATTTTATCTTAATTTTTTAAAAATATATAATCTTTAACATGGAGATCATGAATTGAAAAGATAAACAAATTTTAAAACGAAAAATAATAATTTTACTAAAAAAAATTAGACCCTTAGTTCCAATTGTTTTTAAATGACCAACTTATTTGTGATGGATGCTTTATACCTCTGGACCCGCATATTCTACAAATGCGGTCCAGTCCTCTGAAACAGTTTTTATGTACTTTTCGCAACTGTCTATTCCTTGAGCACTTTCTTGATATCATTTTCATATAAAAAGATCGCATGCTTTCGGCTGCAAGGTTAATTTTCATATAAAAAGTTTATATGTTTTGAAGGTGTAACTTGTGCATTTGCTCCCTCGGAAAAAAAAAACCACAAGTTAAGAGTATTTTTGTCACCTAATTGTTTGTGATGTGACGTACACAACCTGACCACAAAAAAAAAATTTTGAATAAGTACCCGGAAAAAAAAAAAAAATTGGGATAACACAGACAATCCAATTTGTAGAGATAGGGGTGTAAACTTTTCGGTTTGTGCCTGATCCAACCAGCTTTGGATCGAAATCCAAAAAGTAATCCAGAATATTTGGATTCAGATCCGAAAGTATATATCGAATCTTGATCAGTTTCTATTTTGTATATTATAAAATTAAAATTTAATTATAAAAGTTAAAATAATTATATATATTATATAAATAATAAATATATAAATTAAAACATACACGTATATATAAAATAATATACTTTAAAAAATCAGATCAGATTCACCTATACTCAGATTCGACCTGAATTACTATTCAGATCTAGATTTTAGATCCTCTAAATTTCAAATCCAAAACTTGGATAGATATCTGGATTTGGATATGATCCGAATTTCGAGTTTCAGATCCAAACCAAGTAAATTCCCAGCCCCATTCAAAGAGTTAGATGTGAGTGTTTAGGCTTAGCGAGCAAGACCATGGCCATTGGGGGCTATCACCATTCCTCACCAATTTAGATTTATATTGGGCTGGATGGAGGGTAAATCCCACCCTATATGTGATCGATTAAGTGTACAAACTACTCAGTGTGATCGCATATATTCCATGAGGTCACTCACACATAATATGTATAAATTGTGCATAGCACTAGAATATGGGGTTATACCCATAAACCACATGACACAAAGCAATAGTATTTATAGCCAAATCCAAGATCTTTGATGAAATCCTCTTTGATTTGTGTTTTAAACTATATCCACTAAAAGTTCATAGAAGAAGAGGATACCCTGGAATTACAGTGAATTAGAAAAGGTTGTTATGAGGCCGAAAAACCTTCCAAATGATGATCTCGACCACGAATGTGGGAAAAAAAGGATTACGATTCTTGGAAACAATGCATCTTATAATGTATTATGTGGGCCATCCATTTTTGAAAAGTATTCATAGACCTAATTGATCTACACTATTTTTGAAACATTAAATTTTATAAAAGCTCAGACAGATTTTCAGCATTTGAACTACATCTTTTGGCATCATTTCTTGGTGTGGCATCATTTCTTGATGCGCCTTTGATTGTTTAAGGCGCCAACTATATACAAACACTTTGATTGTTTAAGGTGCCAATCATATACAAACCTCACCCATATATAATTATGTTTACGTTCCGATCTATACCAATCTCTAGGTGCGATCAACTCAAATCTTTGCAGCCAGAATTTAGAGGGGGTTATCTACAAATTGACTTGATCTATCGCAAATTGTGTTTGAACTTCTGGACTAAATTTCTTATGTTTTTGTTAGGTGGGTGTAACTGAGGACATTGTGAAGACAATGCTTCGCAAAGATGTTTACTATGTGGTGGTTCAGCCAGGCTTTGATCAGGCCTTTGTTCTTGGAGTCATTGCAGTTCTTGATAACATGTTTGATGGGGCAACAAGATGCTAAAGACTTCAAAAATATTTGATCAATTTGAATTCATGTGAAACGTTCTTGTTGTGGAATATTTCTTATGTTTGAGATGGCATCTTAAAGATCCAAAATAAAACCAAGATTATGTTAGTTGACTTTTTTTTCCTTTATATTTTTTAATGTTAATATTTTCTGCTTAATATTGTAAAAAATGATAAGATTGTGTTGGTTGATTTTGTTTTTCTTTCTTTATTTGAATGTTAACATTTTCTTCTTCTTAAATATTGTAAAAAAATGATGTAGGCATGTAGGATCGTCTGCTATAGAAATTAAGCCCACGAATATAGGACTATACTAAAAGTCAAAATGGTGCCACATAAAGGAGTCACAGCTATCCCTCTTTTGAAAGCGAATCCACAATGGAAAAGTATACAATAAGATCTTTTATTTTTGATATAAAAAGGTTACAATTATTTTTAGCTATTAGATTTGAAATTCAATATGCTAAGTTCAAAGTTAAAAAGAAAAATTTTCGGACTTAAGTTGCCAAAAGGGCCTCTCTTTTCTATAAGCGCCTCTCTTGTCCACCGTCCCATTGTGTTACGTTTCATGAATCGCCCTCTGTCATTATTTAAATAACAAAATTAACAATGTTTCTCTCATTGACACATCAAGGAGATTATAAATTGTTTGGGTCCATGGGTGCAACAACCTTGTAAACTTAAAGTTGGCGATATTCTACACCAACAAGCATATGGAAAAGGTTTCTATACTTTTCTTAGTGCACATAAGATATATACTTCCCCACATCCATCAGTTCAATTTAGATCAAGTGAACCACTGGTCGTTTAATCTAAGATCCGACACTTCAAAGTATATTATTTTTAATATTGTTTCTATAAATTTTATGAATATGAAATTTGGTACGTGCCATCCTCGACAAAACCCAATCGAGCAAACTCTTTTAAGACACTCTCCCGATCGACACCATATGTCGTTCTTCTTTTCCTTTACTTCTGGCAACCATTACAAACAATACCAGATAGAGACGCCAGAACAACGAGAAACTAATATTCCCTCTAACTAAAATGAAAAACTATCCAAAATTTCTATGGGAACTGTTTCTCTACAAGAGACTAGTCTCTCAGTATTGATGAGTATTCCAAATGTACCATCGCAGTGTTTCTCTCTACAAGAAGCTCTCTTATCCCTAAGGCAGACCTTTCATCTCATGCATAAGAGCTTGCCCCATCTCTCTAGAGGAAGCCATTTTTCCCATATAGTGACCTAAATAGGGCACACACATATTTCCTCTTTTATCTCATATATATAAAGTTAAGAATCCATATTAAATAGAAAACTTTCTATACATGTTTGGCGCATATTTAGCACCTAGCCCAATAGACACATGGTAACAAAATTGCTGCCAATTTAATATCAGTCTTAGAGAAATTGTGCTTTCACAAGCATGCGCCACATGTTTTGCACATATTCAACAAAATTCCTATCAATCTAAAAAAAATAGAGTGAGAAAAGAATTATCGTTAAAGTCTTTTCTCAACTAATGGATGGCAATACGAATCTTAATCCACTAATTTAGAGTGAAAAAAAGATAATTTATCAAAAATTATGTTTTAATTTTAGAATTTGAAAATATTTTATATATTTAAATTTTTATATTAAGAATTTTTTATCTCTTTTTCTATATATCAAATTAAACTCAAATTTGGTATGTCGATAGTTCTCACTATCACTCTCCTACAAAACAATATTTAAAATAATTTAAGAATAAGAAATAACTAAAATATCCCAATAATAGTTAGGGTAATTTGACCATTTTATTTATCTTAAATTATTCTTCTAATTTTTTTTTTAAGTGTATAATAGTAAGAAGCATAAAAATACTAAATTTAAGCGTAATCCAATATATAAAGAAAAAAAAATTATGAATAGGTCGTGCAGATCGAAATAAGTAAAGCCTCACCTCATAACTAATCGAAAATTGTAATTCAACTGTTGGAAAATCTTTATATCGATCATCTCGGCTTGAACATCATGGTTGTGAAGAAAAATTAGGATTTCAAGCTCTAAAAATAATGTATATTGTAACAAAGTATCTAAACCATCCATTTCGCCTTAAAAATAAGTGTTTATAGATACGGAAAAGCTGTGCATTCTTTTAGTTTCAAATTTTATTGTCGGCGTTAGAAATTAATTTTAGAGCCATCATGGAAATTTTTGTTGGTGAAATGACTCTCCCGACAAGTATTTGAGATGAGATTTTATTTTGTTTCCATAAGCCTCAACTTTTATGGAAACTTCATCCATAAATATATATCTAACGTTATGATTAGCGGCTTATTATTCGCCCATGTCATATTTTAAGGTTCATGATTAGCCTTAAGACACATCATCAAATTGTATGTGTAAAGTTTGTGGTTAGATTCTTAATTTATTGTCGTACTTTCTTTTGATTTTAATTTTATATAAATAATTATATATATGTGATTTTTTTTTGGCTCACTCCAATTAATTAGAAAAAAGCTAAAATGATGATGATGATGGTGCAATTTTTTTAACGAACTTTTTTTTGGGTAAATTTTTTTGAATGAGTTAGGATCTACTCTTGTACACACTCAAAACCACCTTCACCCTTTCAAAAATGGATGTGGAGATCCTCGAGCAAATCTGGGTCCACTGAAATAGATTATCCATAGTGGATGCTGAGAAAGTAGTTAAGATGGACCATTTTTAAAGCTCTAAATCTGGGTTTTTCATTCGTAAAATTGTAGATTTCAAAAAAATAGATATATAGAAAGAACACTCGGGTTTTATTGGTTAGCGCTTGACAATTTGCCAGACTCACCAAAAATAAAAAAAATAAATATGTAAAGTTTTGAAACTTATGGGGTGAGGCACACATTGTTCAATGCAATGGGTGCTGCACCATATTCCACACATGTAGGGCTCACAATTCCCACTGACACAAGAAAGACCAGTTACTTTCCAAGAACCCTCCAATAGTCAGATTTCAGCAAGGAAGTTTAGGGGGAACTTTGTCTGGAGGAAGATTGCATCCTAGCCGTCATTTCATACATCTGATGGCCAAGGAAGTTGTTACCTTTCCATCAGAAAAAGCATCTGGTCTCATTGATTACATTCTTTTATCTTGGTGTATACATGTGTGTGAGAGATGGAGGCATTTTTAAGTGGAAAGAAGCACCATGCTCCTCTCTCTAAGTGCTCTTTTCAGGTCAAGTCTTCTAACCATTCATTAAACAAAGAAAAATACAATAAGATTATCATTTAAAGACTCTATTAAAGACCTAGGAAGATTCATGCATTAAACCAAGAAAAATACAAAAAATATATTATTTAAAACTCCATTAAAGACCTAGGAAGATTCATGCTTCCAAAGTCTTGGTTTTAATTTTTTTATTTCCTTGGTCTTGGTCTTAATTTTGTATTTCCTTGGTCTTCTTGGTGAGGAATGGGACAAAGGCAGGTCAAAAATCTATTGTTTTAAAGACTTAAATTGCCAAGTCTTCCTGCTTGTCCACCACTTGGAAAGTTAAGAAAGACTTGATGAAATTTACTCCATAGAAATTCTTTTGAAATAACCAATTCATTTGGATGAGATTTCTTCTTTCTTGATGCCAAAGATAAAGAAACTACAGGCCAAAGGATTAAAATAACTACACATTCTTTGGGGAAATTTCTAGTCTTTTTTCTAATGAGATGAAAAAAAATTTCATATACTAACTGAATAAAATAAGTGAAAATATTCATTAAATTGTTGGGAAACTTTCTGTAAGATTTACATAATTATCCTTTGGTCTATATTGTCAAAAAATTTAAAGTGAGGTTATTCTTTTGTATTTTTTTTTCGTTTTTTTGTTTTTTTTTCCAATTTTACCATTGATTTATTGTTGCAAACATCGAACCATTTTATTATTATTATTTTATTTTTTTTATTTTGGTCCCCCTAACTCCCACCCTATAACCCCTTATTTTAGTTTTATTTCATCTTATTTATTTTAAATATTTTTTCGATCCATGATTTAGATCGATCCGGATCGTAGATCCAGTGATTTGGCAAGGATATGTAAAGTGAACGATCTACCCCAGGGATCTGAGTTTTGAAACCCTGAGTTGAATAATTAAAAATTGATAAAATTTCAAATAGCCCATACTTTAAGTGCATTCTAATAAATTTGCCAAAAAATATAAGGAAATCTCTTGTTATGCATCTCCTTTCAATAAAACACAGCCACTTAATTTTTATTTTATTTTTTTTCAAAAGTAGAGTTAAACTCCATGGCATGTTGCGGGGTGGGGTCACCTATTAAATAATGTTAGTTCAACGAGTGGCTAAGATTAATCTCTGAGTGAAGCAAGAGCCCACAGTGAAACAGTAGATTATGTTGAGATATGGCAAGAGACACATGGTCCTCCTGGTGCGTCAAGGCGTGTTATGCCTTCTTTTTTTTTCTTTCATTATTTTTCTTAATGTTTACAAACTTTCATTGAAAAAAAAAAAATAACTGCAATAGTAAATCGTATAAAATTTAAAGATGAAGTTTCTATAAGCCCCAGGTTTTATGAAAACAAAATAAAATCTCATCTCAAATCTTCATCTAGAAAGCCATTAGAACAAAAATCTTCATGATGGATTTAAATCAATTTCCAATATTGATAATAAAATTTAAAACTTAAAAAATGGTATAGATCATGAAGATCTATGAACACTTAATTTTAGAGTGACATGGACACTCTAGATAATTTGTTATAATATACATGATTTTTAAATCTTCAAATCCTAACTTTTTTTCATAACTAATATGTTCAAACCGAGAGGATCGATTTAAAGGTTTTTCAATACTTGAATCGTAAATTTTAATGAATTATGAGTTGAGGGTTACTTATTTTCATAAGGCTGCAGCCTATAAAATTATTTTCCAAAAGGTGAAAGAAAAGGACAACATTTGCTGTGTCAATAGTCGTAGTACGCGACACATGGACTTCTTTTAGTTGGTGGAACATTGAGATATTTTCTCTCTTTGTATACCATACAAATTGTAACAATTATTATCGGATCTTAAATTAGGTGTTGATTATAACTTTTTTAAGAAAATTTCATTGAATTTTGAGCTCGTTCAACATAACACCCTCCTTAATTTTATTTGACATATAATAATCAAAAGTAATTGGGACTTTCTTGTATTAGATAGTAATTATATTATTGTAAATTTTTTTTTGGGGATTGTCTAAATAGAAATCATTTATCCTTTGTATATAGAGGTCAAAATTATTCCTGTTCATTAGATATCAAATTTGATGGCTTGATATGGGTCAAAAAATCCGAGTATTTTTTTTTTAGAACTTTTTATCTATTCAATGACACTCTTAGAACCACCAGTTTTGAAATTTAAAGGATAAAAATAAATGTGACCTCCATATATAAAAGATAAATAATCTCTTTAAATACAATCCCTTTTCTTTGAACTAACGCCATAAATATATGCAGCAGCGAGTACCCAAACTTATTCAAACCCCTAGGAGTGAATATATATGAGTTTCTAAAACAGAAAAAATAAATTAATACAAATTTTGTCGAAAATTATTTGAAAATACAACATATAACGAACTTTTTAATAGTTTACTGTTGTGCCAATTTTTATTTACCCATATATTAAATAATTGTGCATGATGAGCAAAATTTCGAAAGAACGGACATTACAGAGTCTATAGTGGTCCCTTTTTTTTTTGTTTTCTAAATTCTTAATAAGCAATATATTTGCGGACAGACCGATATATAACAACTTATATAAACGTGAAATCACCAATATTTGACCATATTGGGTGATTTTGATTGCACACTATCTTGGGGTGGCAATGGACCCGGGACCCAACGTCCGGACCTGACCTGGGTCCGGGTGTGGGTCAAATTGGACCTGATGGGCGGGTCCATGTTCAAATATTGGACCCGAACACATGGACCCGGACCCGACCTGACTTGAATAGTGTTATTATATAAATAATATTTAATATATAATATTTTAATAATATTTAAATAAATATAATTATATATTTAGTTAGGGTGCGGTTTGTATAGAGCCTAGGCTCTAAACAATCAAATTAGAGCCTACCTTCAAATAGTATCGAGAAATATGGTTTCAATGAAAATCTTTGTGATAGCCTTAAAATATATTTTTATATTTATTTATAAAGTTTAAAGCTTCAAAAAATAGTGCAGATTTATGAAAACTTGAAAATCTTGAAAATTGACGGTCAAAAAATCGTTACAAAATACACTATTTCTAAAACTTGAAATCCATTTTTTTCTCATGTCCATGCATCTTGATATTGAGATGATGAATTTGAAGAAATTTGAGCATCAAAACAACCTCCTCTAATAAAAGTTTTGAGGTAGGCTCAAATTTGATTGTTTAGAGCCTCAGCTCTATAAAAACTTTTCCCATTTAGTTATAATATTTAAATAATATATTTATATATTGAAAATAATATTTAAATATATTTAAAAATATTTTTTTATTATTTTTAGGTTGGGTCCAATCCTGTCTAGATGGGTACAGGTCCCATAATTTTATTCGTGTTCAGACCTGATACAATCCGTTGCCACCCCTAACACACTCCCATATTAGGTAGAAGGCCCCTCTAATAAAAATGGTCTCTATATTTAATATTTTAGTATAATCAAGAACATATTGTTCAAAAAATGCTAATCAAGATCAAGTTCAATTAGTGGATTAACCAGCTTTTTATTCTTTTTATTCAGGTACTTCTTCATAAATACTTAAATTGTAATTATTCATGAACCCTGAACCATCAGAGGTATTTCATTTATTTATTTTACCCAGTGTTTTAAAAAACGCCGAGT